TATATATATATAGAAGGGATCATATGAGAATAATTCCTAGTGAAAGAAATAAGAATGATTATGGACCATTGGATGTGTTATATCAATGAACAACATTAAGTCAAAATTGTATTAAGTGGTCAAAATGGTAATGGCAAAAGTGTAAACATGTTATTATCTAATGAGCAAATAAATAGCTGGAAGGGCAGTTACGTAATTTACAAATTCAATGGGCCCCACAAATTAATAATACAGGTTTCTCACTCCTCTCTCCTCTCTCCTCTCCTTTCTCCTCTCCCTTCTCTTTCACTTTCTATTTCTCCTCCCTCCCCGCTGGAAGTTCGTATCTCGCCGCTGTCTGTCATGTCGCCGCCGTCGACCGAAGATGCTTCCCAACAAGCCTGCCTGTCACATCGCCACCGTCGAAGTATCCGATGCCACTACCTTCCACCGATTCCGGCAACTCATCCAGAGCTCACGGCGAGATTTCTAAATTGACGGCCTTAACAATCGTCGTCGTCCACAAACCTTCACCGCGCCTCCGCCTTCCATCGCCTGTCCGCATCCTCTCCTCTGTCGTCTGGCCATAGCAGCACCAGCTCGCATTGCCTCCGCCATCCGCCACCGCCGTCCGCCACCGTCTTCCAGTTGCGCAACCAGCCGTCCTCGCCGGCAACATCACCGGCGTCGCCACCTTCCACCACAACAACCGACCCACGCCATCTCCGCCACCACGCGCACCAATGAAGTTGCAGGTATCCGGTGGCGAGAACCACCACCGCCTGCCGCGCCGGTGTCGCCCTCCGCCACTATGCCCGTCAGCGCCACAGCTCCGCCTGACCTTCGCAGTATAAAGGGATATGAGAAACCTGGATCTGCGTTTTGCAATTTTGACATTTTTTTTTTGAGAATTTGAAATATTGAAAGGGATATGAGAATCTGAATTTGCATTTTGCAATTTGGGCATGTTTTTGAGAATTTGAAATATTTAAAGGACTCGATTGCAATTTTATTAACTTTAATACATTACAATTCAATACATTGGTTAAATTTATAATTTATAAAACTTAAATACTTGCACATTAATGTTATATAAATTACACGTTAACGATGATTAAATTGCACATTAATGTTATATAAATTGCACATTAATGTTATGTAAATTGCACGTTAATATTTTTATCTATCATTTTAGTTATTTTATTTAAAAAATAATATTTTTATAAAAATATAGAAATTAGTATTTGTTTATATGGTTTGGTCGGTCCAGTTATTTCGATTATTTTAAAAAAAAATATATATCGAACCGAGATAACTAATTTTTAAAGGTAAACACATAATCGATCCGACATAAGATTTGAATAAAAAAACCAACTCAGTCAGATTGTCGCTATAGTGCAATCCGTCTAACGCTAAAGTGCAATATTGAAGACATTTACTTGCAATCAGTCTAATACTAGTGTGCATTCGAAATACAATTGTTTTTTTTTTTTTTATATAAAACAATATATTTGTATTAGTATTTTAGTTAATAGTTTATATTGTTGTTTGATGAAAATAAATAATATATATGTATATATGTGGAGAAAATATAAAAATAATATTTTTTTTATATAGTTCATCATTTATTTAAAAAACATGTTGTTTTATTAAGTGCAATGTGTTGTTTTACAAAGTGCAAAATTCTGCTATATAAAGTGCGAAATACTAATGCGCATTCGAAGTGCATTTTTTTTATATAAAAATATATATTTCGTATTAGTAAAATGTTTAAGTAATAGTTTATATTGTTGTTTGATGAAAATAAATAATATATATATATAAGAATAAAATTTTTTATATAGTTCAACGGTTATTTAAAGCAACATGTTGTTTTATAAAGTGAAATGTGTTGTTTTATAAAGTGCAAGTTTTTGCTATATAAAGTGCAATTATTTATACCTTTCTATATCAATTATGTGTATTCGTAAACTAGTTTAAATTTATATATACTTGTACATTGGATTAAGCTAAATAACTATTTTTTTATTTATTATTTTTATCATATAATTTATTTATTATTATAAATTATTTTTATATTATTTTGATATTTATATTAGTTTAATTAATATTTTATTTGTTATTTAATATAAGAATAGAAATATGTATAAGAAATAATTTTTATTAACTTTCAATAATTATAAATTTGACCCATGGGTTAAATTAGAATATAATTAAAATTATCAAAATTGCAAATAAGTCCCTATACATAATCTAATTCTCAAAAATGAGGCCCAAATCCACAGCCCGTTTTCATCCATTTTTCCGGCAACCGGACTTCAGCCATGGTCATGAGGGACCCTCCGACGGCTCCGGTGTGGCTCCTGCCGGTCGGCAGTCGCAGAGGCGACGTGCGCCGATGAGCTTTGTCCTCCACGACCGTGAAGCCGCACATGAAGAGCTATCCGTCGACGCCGGATTGATGACTTTTCCATCGACGCCGGACCTGGTGAGCCTCCGTAAACCGGTGCAACGCTGTCTTCCGCCAGGTGCAAGTGCGTGTGGCTGGTGCAACTCTGACCTCCGGCGAAGTACGTCGTCCAAGAAGTTGACGTGGCTGGTTACTGTGACCGGCGGAGGGACGTACACGGCGGTGGCGGGTGGCTGTTGTCTGGTGGCGGGACGTCCACGGCGACGAGCGGCCTGCAGCGACGGCGAGCGGCGAGCGGCTATGGCAGCGGTGGCGGAGACGTGGTGGTTTCTGGCGGACTGGGGTGGTGCCGTCGTGTGTGTGCTGTGTGTGTATGTATGTGTGTGTGTGTGTGTGAACTGTGTGTGTTAATTGTGTGTGCGAACTGTGCTTGTTTGAATTAGTATGTGTCCAGTGTGTGTATGCGTGTGGGTGTGTGTGTTCTCTGGGTGTTTGTGTGTGTTTGTGTGTGTCTAGTGTGTGTATGGCGTGTGTTTGTGATGATGTGTGTGTATGTGGATGGGTGATGTGGGTATGTGTGGGGTGAGAGATATATGATGTGTTATATTGGTCCCACTTTTTGTGTTAAAATTACCAATTTACTCTTAATGAAGTTATAATTAGGTTTTTATTTTTAGCCTTTAGATCATTCGATCTAATGGCCGAGATGTATTCTCATTTCTTTCATTGAGAACCATTTTCATATGAACTCAATCCTACATATATATATATATATATATATTGAACATTCAAAGAGATATTCACTCTCTGATTGGGGGGGCCTTTGCTGTTCAGGTGGAAACGTAGGTTTGTGTTTGTTGAAACTTGTAAGTTATTTAATAGATGAAAAAAGGGTTTACTATTTGTTTATTGATTAGTTAAGTGGTTCTAATCAAGCAACTAATTCCTTGTCGGATAAGCCTTGGTTCGCAATTTCCTTCTCCTTAATAGAGCTTCTTATACTTTTTCAACTTCAACATAGTGTTACCCAATCCGTCACTGGCGTGATTGTATATATTTTTTTACAGTAAATATCTCACTCAAAACTCAAATTTAATTCAACTTTAACTCAACTCCACTATTTCCAATATTATCAAAATAATTAAATAATATCAACTCATTATTCTTACACATCACATCAACTTTAATTCACTATTCATCTACTCACATCATTTTAAGTAACTATCACTTCTAATTATTTTCTCCTACTTTTACATCAAATCAACTTTAATTATTTTAAATTAAATATTATTTTAATATATTTACTAACAACTAACTATACTACTTTTTTTTTTAAATTTAATTATATTTAAATAAATAACTAGTTTTACTAGTTGAATTCATATCAAATCACCCTAACGACTTTCCAGACTGAAAAAGGGTAAAAAAATAAATAAATAAGAGAACGGTGCTTTAAAATGGCAGAATGTTCTGATATTATTTGAATTGATACAAAAAGATATTTTACAATTTCACTCTTGTTCTTTTTTGTATGTGTGTATGTGTGTTTCACATGTTCATCGAATTCCCATGTGAACCCATTAATCCAAACTACTTTTAGCCACTAAACATGGGATTATAATGGGCCCGACCTGAAAACATAATTCCCTAAAAAAATGGACAAATTTAGACAACACCATGGACCCGACAAAGATCTTTATTTTCCGACACCCTCTAACCAAACAAACATATACTATCATAATTCAAAAAAGAGTGATAAAAGCGAGACCCAAACAAAATGTCGCCACATATTAGGGTGTGTTTGACACGTATAATAAGTTAGCTTATAGTTTATTTGGTTAGCTTATAAGCTTTCTGTATCAAATAAGCCTCGTTTGGTAGGACGAGCTTATTTAAAAAGCTCGGGCTTATTTGATAAGCTCGTTTAGGTAGCGTTTCAAAATAAGCTAGTTGACTTTTTTATTTCAGCTAGCTTATAAGCTAGTTTTACTAAACACTTTTATTATATAAGCTAGCTTTTCAGCTATAAATCATAAGCTATAAGCTATAAGCTAGCTTATAGCTTATCAGCTACCAGCTAGCTTATCAGCTAGGTTTACCAAACACACCCTTAGTCTAAAACATGTCAATTTCCTTACTTGAGTTATCTATTCAGATCATTCAGCCGTTGGCCGCTTATTTGGCTGAGTAGCTCGTCTCTGATCTCAACTTTATTGTGAATATAAGATCTACATATCGTTTCGGCAAAATAAATTACATTTTTGCCACTACAACACGTACTCAATGCATAATTTTGAAAAAATATATATAAATATAATTAATTTTTTTTTAAATAAAAAACTCCGTAGAATGTAGTGAAAGGTAGTGGGTAAGAGAGTTGAAGTAGGAAAAGGTCGAAAAGAGTAATTAATTACATGAATGAATAATGATACTCTTAATCAAGAAACTCCATCTTTATCTGTACAACCAAAGCATAACAAAATAGTATGTGGGGTGTTGCTATATTCAACAAAACAAAAACTTAGGCTTTATTCTGATTACGAAACAAAACTATAAAATTGGAGGAAGGATATAAAAGAAACAGTGATTCTTTTACTTAATTTTTTTTTTTTCTTTAATTTTTTTCCCCTTAATTGGTGTTTTACCACATTGGAGCCCTCCTAGGCAAACTCTTTCTCTTGTGCAATATTTTCCTTGGCTTTAAAGCTGTACTTAACCATGTCTGTATTACCTCAGACGAGGACTCGGCTACAGAGAAGGAGCTTGAAGCATATCCATTTTCATTAAAGGAACTTTCTTCCTGTTCCAGATTGGGCAATTGGCCACCTTCTGAAGATATCATGATCTTGTGGCTTCGGTTTATTGTCGTTGTCGAGTATGTTGAAATCTGCAAGCATGATGAATCTTCACATAAATAAACTGTAAATATACATAAATAATAGAAAAAAAAAAAAGAGATATGTATGAGTTTGTCTTGATTATAGAAAGCTCGTAAGTAGCAGTAGCTCAGGCTAACTTTTACATGGTTAAACATCACACAGAGGTATGAGAAATTAGTTACAGCTGTATGAATGAATTATTGGCTTACTTTGCAGGCAATGGAGCAAAAGCGATTAGGAAAGTGTTGTATGTGCCTCCCACAAGCTTCGCAGCAAGTTCCAACAACTTTTGCTTTTGAACTTTTTACATCTTTTTTGAGTTGAGGTCTTGGATTCAAGTGGATGGCCTTTTCCCCATTCACTTTGTATGCCTGTAAGTTAAACACGACAATTTTTAGAGAAACCATTCTGTCGTTCCTTCTTCGTTTCTTTGCTGCAACATCGTGTGTGTTCGTAATTTTGATCCTCAATCATAACTTTGTAATGTATGTTGTGTAATGTATCATACATTGCGAGTGACGATCAAACCATATAGACAGATAAAGATGAAACGAATTTATTCCTTTAAAAGTACTCTTCCTTAACAGAATTATCTAATACCTATTCAAAAACCTTTTGATTTTTAGTGAAATGTTCGACCGACACTTCTCGGCTTATCAAAATGAAAAAGTCCAAGCATTGGAATAAAATTCAGTTATCAGCAATCAGTCCAATATCCTGAACTGGTGAGTTTTATTTTTTTTCAAATCAATTACAGTCTCTGTCCTCAACACTAATTGCAAATAAGCACCCCAGTACAAAAAGGAGGGATACAATAAAAAAAAAATGTTCCAAATATGGGTAAAGAATAAATCTCTTAAAATCCCTAAATGAGTAAATTACCATAAAAACAAGAACTAAGCAAATCCAAAATTTGTTAGAACGAAAAAAAAGTCACCCAATCAGAAGAAAAATGAAAGAAAATAAAGTACTAACTTGAATCAGAGAGCAATCGAGGTGCGGTTGAATATCATGGAGGCGAACAACGTCACGATACACGTATTTGCAGATTTGCAGGAGGCGGTGAAGGCAACCGTGGCGAGCAGGGGAAGTGACGCAATGCTTACACAAGCAGAGGTTGCAATCTACGCAGAACAGATTCTTCTCGCTCTTTCTCAGTTGCCCGTGATCCACGCACGAGACGAAGAATTTGCTCCTCAGTAGACTCCTCACCCAATCCGACGCCGTTTTACTCCTTTTCACCCGGAAATTACACCCCGCCTGCACACACGCACACCATTAATCAGGCCCAAATCACCGCATTTCAAGCTCAACCGTTGAATCAATTTCGAAATGAAATTCGAACACATTCGGAACTGAATTAACAAGGAATTTTCAGATCTCTGCAATTAATTACCATTTCGGAGTTCAATCTGATTCCTGGAGCTCGGATTTTTACCTGATCAGTGCTCGGATTAGTGATCAGAGACGAATCGTATCATTAATTATGCAAGAACAAAAAAAAAAAAAAAATGGTTTGGAGTGGGAATGTAGAAGAGCAAGTGATCCGTGCATGGGAGCAAACGAATAAGAGAGTTTGAGAGAGCGAAAGTGTTGAACTTTGAACCACAGACCGCAATTAGACATTATAAAGTTGAAAAAAACATCAAATGAATTATTATAATAATTGTCGAAATAAAACGATATTCGAAAATGACATAGAAAAAAAAAGGGGGGAAGGGATTTAATTAAATTTGTTATTTTATTTTTGAAGGAAATAAATCATTTTATAATATGAATACTGAAATGGCTGATAAAGAGGAGGTGAAAATGGGGTACTTGAACTTCTGTGTATGTTTACATGCACAGTGGGAAAAAAGAACAAAAAAAAAAAAAAAGTGATTGGCGGGAAAAGTGAGGGTCGTGCGTGGGCCGTTGGATTAAAATGTGGGTCCCCACCAATCAGAACATGTGATACATCATCATGATCTCCCCGCTAATCTCGGCCGTCCTTATAATAACTTTGCTCACTTCAACTAGTGCATCACTCTTGCAGGTGTATGGGTTGTATTTATTCATGAAATTACATAACTTGAATGTTATAATATGATAAAAAAATATATATATCATATTATAAAATGTTGGGCATGAAATTTACTTTACCCTCTTCAAATTTCAAAGTCTTTATCGAATGTAAAGAATGCTTACGAAGGGATGATTGTATATAAATTTTTTTGGTTTTGTTTAGAGTTTTTTTATTTGGTTTGGTTAATTTTAAAAAAAAAGTAATATGATTAGTTGTGAGTGGATATATTAAAATAATATTTGGAATAAAATAAATTAAGTTGATTTGATGTAAAAAGTAAGAGAGAGAAGTTGAAGTGATGGTTATTTAAAATTATATCAGAGGATGAATAGTAAATTAAAGATGATGTGTTGTGTAAGAATAATTGATTGATATTATTTAATTATAATAAAATATTGATGATAGTGGGGTTATACCTGCTGTCGTGAAAGAATTAACGGTTATACCTGGTGGCGTGAATTTTTTTTTCAACATATTTTTGTAGGATGTCTCGAATTTTCTTTTAAACATTCTATTTCCAACATGTTTTTGTAGGATGACTCGAATGTTTTTTTTTTTTTTTTTTTTT